TATAAGCCTGATCAACTTATGCGTGGAAAATGTTGGGGGTGTCACATGACACTTATTTACTATCCCTTATAGTACGGGGATATTGATAACGAGATTCATTCAGCCCAGATCTTTTTAATATAGGACACTCATTATCATCCCTTGTATCCCTTTAGTAAGGGAATTAGATTTTTGTCAAGCGTCGAGAATGCCAAGTCCTACTAAGCTAAGTATGCTTGATGATTACTTTTTTGCCCTTTTTAATGAGGGAAGTGGATTTGTTCGAGCGTTGTGAGCTCTCCCTTTAATAAGAGAGTAGTTAACCCGTAGTCTTTTTACCGAGGGAAGAAGATAAAGTTGACCCTTCGTTCCTTTATGGGGAAAGATGTGCAGTCTCAAGGAAGATGACCCATTTAATACGAGAGACAGTCATCTCATCTTTCTAATAAGTGAAGGAAGCTGTAATTATCTCACCATTCTGTGTAGAATGAGTAGTTGGCTTCTTGTCCCTTTAATGAGGGAAGAATGTGTTGTTGGCCTCTCGTCCTAGACAACTAGTACCCCCGAGGGGTCGCTAAAGGAGAGAGACTTGAAACCCGTCTAGCTTGATGTACCAAGGTTAGTACGTCAATCTTCTAAACCTTGTCATCACATGTAGATCGACGATTAATATCGTGTGATCCACTATCCTGCCCCCGATGGTGGGATCTTGGGTGATGACCCATTCTATAGGCGTTTATACAGCGGACGGGGTGCCTGGTGCTGCAAGAATTTACAGATGTCTAAAAGTATTAAATTGTGTTAGAAATGATTACTAAAAATTAACCTGCCATGGATTATCAATCCAAAGTTCTACATAATCTGAAGTCGATAGGCAATTCCTGCAAGGTAAGAGAGGTGACGACTGTCATCTGGTAGGTGGAGGCTTAGTGTCCAGCGACTGGCTTGATGCCTGGTGGATAGGGGCGTGGTACCCAACGGCTGACAAATGACGGTCTGGTGGCTAGTACTAGATAATGGTCTGGTGGCCAGTACTTCGTTGGGTCCAATAATCGCCCTTAACTTATGAACCTCCTTGGGAATACATACATCATAGGATCTTGAGGGACATTGGACCTCCTTGGACCTGAAAGCCTTGATACATTCTCGGGTGTAAAAGGCCACCCTGATTACACGAACGAACGGAGTAATGAGACTCCGTTGCTAGAGACATCCTCAGTAGTAAAGGCTTTACTAGTAGGTAGAGACCCCTTTGTTGATAGTGATCTTCTTGATGGGTGGAGACCTACCCATTTATGTAGGTGTAGAAGGACCATGCCTTAGTCTTCAATGATCAGGCCTTGGTAATTGGCTGCTGCCCGATATGAGATAGAGTCTGGTCTTAGACGACCAAACCTCAGTAGTGAGGGGACCAAGCATCGCTAGATGGAAAACACCACATGGGACTGCTTGGGTCGACGTGCCAAATTTTGATTATTGTCGTCGTACCCTGGGTAGCATCACACAGCCCACCATTTTGCCCCCAGTATGATGGACGGGTAATCAGGATGTAGTGTCTCGTCCTTATATAAGAACATGGAAACCCGTTGTCAACTGACGACTTTGGGATGGTTTCCATGATCGAAAACTTTCGTCTTGCCGTCCGAGCCAAGTCGCGCCAGGATTATTATTTCTTTAGAGAACTAATCATTCCCACAGACGACGCCAGCTATTGATGCGAAAATCCTCGCGGCTCGGGATAACGGCGTTTACCTGCAAAACAAAGGGATGTCACCTTGAATGGCACCAGTGGGGTGCCAGCCAAGGACCCTCCGACGATCAAGTTCGTACTTGTAATCGTATCACATAATAATTATGTAATATTCTCTTTAGGAGTTTTTTCTCGTACCTTCTTTAATGGCTTGGTGCCCTATTTACGGTTGTCGATTGGAATCAAATTCATTCTGCCGATGTCGATGGTTGACCTTATCTTCCGCTTGTGCGAGATCGTATGAGATTTATTGCCAGATTTGTAGAGATTTGATTTACTCCAAGGTTATCCTTACCCTGTTGAACCACGTTGTCTTTCATTATCCTAGATCATTCTTATCCAATGGAAACCTTTATTTTTGATAACGAAATATTATCGTTCGAAAGTAATGTAGGTCTAGCGGCTGGTCAACACTTAGTTGCCTTTTATCGTTAGGTCAGGGTAGGTTTATTTTTCCCTATCAATTATCATTTGGAGCACCTTGCCATTTTCGAACTTGGGGTTCTTGGGGCTGTTTTGAAGTTTCTTATGTGTTTAGCAAATTTCTATCTCCTTTGTTATATGTTGAGAATTATGACACGTGATATAAGAATTGTTGTTTTGTGAATGCTTATATGTGTAAAGCATGAGTTGTTTTAATCTCGTGTTAATGGTCTATTTAAATCTTATTATATGAGGATTACTTGAATATGTTTGAATTGAGAAAAAAATGAAGTTCTTCCCATGTTAAATCTTAAAAGTATGCCATGAACTTTAAATTTAGCTCTCATAAGATGATTTGATGATGTCAATGCCACTATAATGATGAACTTATGATTTAAGGTTGAAAATCATTGCATTGCATATCATGGTATGAGAAGGAGTTTTGGGTAGAATTGGAAGGAATTTTTTTTTAAATAATGAACCAGATTTAATGAGTCCGGGGCAAGCTTGACCTGAGAGGAGCGCGACCCGGTCTAGGGCATGAAAAAGTTGATACTAGGCCGAGTAATGGTTGCCGAATTTGGAACCGGGGATAGATATCAATCTCGCCTCGGTAAAGTCAGTTAGCAGGTTTTGATAAGTGCGTGTTGGGTCGGTATAGACCAAATTTGGGATGGGATGCATCATGATTCACATCATGCATATTATTTACTAAATTGAATTATATAACTGATGATCTTGCTTGTTAAGTTGTTAAAGTGATACGAATTCCCATAGTCTGACCCCCGCTTCTTTTTTATTCCCTTACGTGTTACGAGGTTCAATGGAGTCCAAAACTAATGACTTAGGCGACTTCTACTGAGCTTTATCCTCACCCCTTATCTTTAACATTTTCAGGACATGGAAAAAGTTAGAGGATAATAATCCATCACAGGCTTAGACTGGATTGGAACTCATATATTGTTGTCTTTTACATAGAAACACGAGCCATGTTCTTTTGTAAAGCTGAGTAACCATTTTGTATAGTTTTCAGTTTGTGGTCTTGTAATATAAAAAATTTGAACCACTTAATGTACCTAAGATTTATCTCATGTAAATGATTTTGGGATTATGTAAAGAATACGCAACTTCATATTTTTGAATGAATGGAATGTGAGATATTATTTTACATGTATTGGGACAGGATTTATTCAGTTTAAGGTCCCTTAGGAGGCCATTGTTTACTCCCATATTCATAGCAGTTCAGTAACAGAGTTTTAGCTTGCACAACCATTTCAGACGACCGAAATGGGCATTTCGGTCGATCGACTGCATTATAATCAAATTCTAGTAGATATGCAAGTTTCAAGACCACAACCAGTCGACCGATTGGTCTACTTCGAACGACCGGACTGCTGGTTTGTTTTGGCCTCTATTTCATTTATTTTAAAGTCATTCTTAAGCCATGGAAAGGTGTTGTAGTGCATGTAATGAGTTGTATTTGTGTGTTGAAGGTGTCTTGACATTAGAAATGATGATGGTGCCCTTAGATGACCTCGGGTTCGGGTAAGGACCCGTTAGCGATTCGGACTTACGGGTTTGGGTCGTTATATAGGTAGTGGGATTGCCAACGTTTTGACACCGGTCTTGCATGCATTTGGTAAGATTCCAGTTAGGAGTTAGGAGCTTGGGTTGCTTTCTTGAGGTAGGGATGTCTAAAGTATTATGTTTTGACTTCTATTTGAGTTTTTCCTACTTGATTCCATGTTATGTTTGCTTAAATGATGATTATTAAACATTAAAGCAAAATATATATATTCTTGATGAAATTGCTATGTTTTACATTGTTAGGTGTATATTTGAAATGCTATAACTGTTAGAAAACATACTCTAATTGCAAGTTGATATCTTGAGATTGCTTAGTTTATCATAATGATGTGATTTCATTGATGTAAAACATGCTCTATGAATGAATAGGAATGAAAGCATAAAGGTATTAATTTTTATGATGCATGAATTCATTCATAGAATGAGCATGGTTGGGGAAAAATGAGTTTAAAATGATTTTAAAGAAAGTATTTTAGGAAAGGTTGGGAAAGTGATTTATGAAAGGAGCACGGGGCTAATTCGACCTAGAAGGAGCACATGACGAATTTGGACGTGTAATGTTGATTGTTAAGGCCCAAATAGTTGTTGAATTTGGAACTAGGGATAACCAATCAATCTCGCCTCGGTAAAGTTGGTTAGCGGTCTTCGGCGTGTGTTGTGTTGGGAAGGGATGATGGTCGGGAAGGCATTGCATTCATAACACGTTGATATACTTGAATTGATTATAAACTCTTGATATTCACGTATATGATCTCATTTTTCTTATATCTATTTTTGATGTGTTGGCTCAAGAGAGCCCAAAGTTAATGTTTTAGGCATTTCCTACTGAGCCATTGTGCTCACCCCTTATTTATCATTTTCAGGGCACAACAAGGAAATCCTAGAGGATGCCCACGTAGGCTTAGGAGTTGTTGATGTATTTTGTTATCTCTTGGAATGTAATTACATAGACAGTGAAACTATGTAATTTAACTTTATTCTTTTGTTACTTTCATGCGAAGCTTTTGTAATCATGGTCATGGCCTTATTGTTTTGCAAAATTATTCTTTTGGTTTAAATATGTAACGACCCAAACTCGGGAGTCCAGATCGCTACCCGGGTCCTTACCCAAACCCAAGGTCACATAAGGGCACTATAGTCATTTCACCATTAAAAATTATATTTTTATAACCCATCGAGGGTAAAACAGTCATTTAACCCATTAGGGGCGATACGAGGGCGATTAGGGTTTTGTTTGTTATGAAGTCTTATTGATTCCTAGAATTACACTAAAAGGGGATGTGAAGTCGGCAACTCCCCATTGTGGGCAGTCACTCTACATCGACGAGAGCTTCGTCGAAAAGAGAAAATCGATTCTCTTATCTTGCTTGGTTGGTCAATTTGATAAGGAAGTTGGGGGTGTGATCGGATTGAAGAATGGGTAGTTAGGGCATGGAATACGTCTTGTGGGGTTAGGGTTACTCCCTTATTCGATTCACTTATTTTGTTCAGGTTATTTTCTCAGGCAGAGGCTCAACGAGTGTTGAAGGAAGGCCGGCGGTAATAGGGTTCTGCAACTTTACGGATCTATGTGTGGTCTTTTAGAGTTGGTTATTATGAGGTTCTCAAAGACAAAGGCCTTAAACAGATCCGACTGTTTGGTCTTCCTCTTTATTTATGGTGTCAAGCCCTTTTTGGGGGAGTTGTGAGAATTGGATTAGCTTGTCCATCATTTGTGTTTATCAATGACGACACCTTCTGTTATAAGGTTGCGATCTAGGAATAAATCTCGTCGGAGTTGGTTCTTTCGACGGAGAGTCTTGAAAGTAGCGATAAGTCACATCTTATGTGAGAGGAAAAATGAAACATGCTTCTTAACAAAGGGGATGAAGGGGAGTTGCAGATCCGACAATGAATGAATGATAGAAAAGCACAAAGAGTGGTAAAATTTGTGGGAGGAAGATCAAGTGGTAGTCACACGCCGGTTATGCGTGTTAATGTTAACAAACAGAAAGCTACATGTAACGGTCGTTTAGGCCCCCATCCAGATCCTTCCTTTTTCCTTATCTTCAAGGGTTGGTGAGGAGAATGGATTAGGCTGTAAGTCTGATTGGGTTAAAAGAGATATGGGTTGTAGGGTGGTAAGCCATGCTAAGCCTTAAGACATCACAGGTCTATTAAATACGGACTATTTAAGCGCAAACCATTTTCGGATAGTTTTGAGCCTCGAATAGCCTACACCAAACGAAGGGTTAGAAAAAATGGATCCAACTCTTTTTCCATTTCTTTTTTTAATAAACCAAAATTTGTTATAGGGCCAGACTTAAAAGAACAAGCCCAAGTTCAGGTTCAGGCCCATTCCTCCTCTTCTTTTTCTTCACAACATGGTCTTTTGTTGCTGACGAAGAAAATAAAGCGAGACTCAAAGACTGCATTAACCGGTCGACAAGGATCTAAATGGACATGCAAAAAAAAAAAAAACAGAAATGGGTAGCATGCCCTACTGCCTCTATTCCGGGTTTAAATTTTGTTGTTTTTCCTCAAAATTCTTTATCTTCTCCTTCTTCGTCTGAGGTATTTAAAAGGGGTAGTGGTGTTGTGAAAGAGAGTTTTGATCAACAGAAGGATTGCTCTGGTGACATTGTTCCACGGATGAAAGGGTCACTGTCTTTAATGAACTTGGTTGGTAGTGGAGATTGCTATAGTGGAGTGACCATAAGTGTTAGAAAGGACTTGTCTTTCAAGCTAACAGACGATTTAGCTGTGTCATTGATTAATGAACTTAGGCTTTTTGTCGCTCTGAAAGGACTGAATTGTTTACCATCAGAAGCTAAAGTGAATAATGTTCTTGATTTAATGAAGATTGCCACAGAGGAGGCTACAGAGATGGATTTACAGTTAAATGCGTCTGGAAACAGTGAAAAGTGTGAAGGGGAATAGTTTGCTCTTTAGGTTCCTTTGCAATAAGTTTGTCCTCATAATTTTCACCCTTGGACGAAAATGGATTTTTCTGACGTTGATTTAATGGAACCTCGGCAATTGTGCACCCTGATTGCTTAGAAATGACTGATGATTTGGGCATGCAATGGGTGAATGACAATATTGGTATGGTTAGTGCTGCTTTGGGTGTTTCTTTGAAGGGTGACGTTGATCGTACACAGTCCATTCTTCATGCTGTTATGATAAGAAATGAAATTACAGAGACATATCAAAGCACTAAAGTTGGCAAAAATAGATCACAACGGAAAGGGGAACAGGAGATGAAGAACCTTATTTCCAATGTCAACTATAAAGGGAATGATAGGGTATCTAAAGAAAGGGGAAGGACTAGAAGTGGAAAATAGGGGGGAGGTAAGGAGATGATCATCTTTGGTTCTTAATGAAGCTATGAATTATTATATGGAACGTCCATGGTCTAAATGATCCGGATAAAAGAAGGGTGGTTAAGGTTACTTTTAGGCAGTGGAACGCTCATGTTATATGCTTGCAAAAAACCAAGATGGTTGCTATGTCTGATGAGGTGGTAAGGAGTATATGGGGATGAAGGTTTGTTGAATGGGAAGTTTTAAATGCTTCCGGCACATCAGGCGGAATTCTTATTTTGTGGGATCGAAGATAATTATCCAAAACAAATATTTGGAAAGGGCATCATTCTTTGTCATGTGTGTTTCAGATGGAGGATGATAATTTCAAATAGGTTTTTTCTGGAGTTTTTGGACCTGTTATTGATTGTGATAAACCAACCTTTTGGGAAGAGCTTAGCTTTGTCAAGGAATTGTGGTCATTGCCTTGCTGTTTAGGAAGAAATTTTAATTCTGTTAGGTCTCCGTTTGAGAAATCCACTAAGGGTAGATGGTCTAGTTTTTTGATTTCATCGATGGCCACTTCCTTATTGATTTGCCAATGGAAGGGGCTATCTTTACTTGGTCCAATGGTAGAGATTCAGTCACTTTCTCAAGGTTGGAATCGGATTTCTGGAGATTGGGAAAAAAAAGTTCCCGAATGTTACTCAGACTGCTTTGGTTAGGGTAACGTCCGACCATATACGCTTAGTTCTTGATTGTGGAGGGATGAGATCCAGATGAGATCCAGACATACACCTTTTCGCTTTGAAAATATGTGGTTAAGATCTGAGGATTTTCAAGGGAAAGTTTAGTCATGGTGGGGTGAAGCATCTTTCACAAGTTCTCTTAGCTATGTCTTAGTTAGAAAGTTTCAGGTTCTCAAATCTGAACTTAAGAAAATAGAACAAAGAGGTGTTCGGGAATCTTGAATGGAAGAAGAATAGAGTTTTAACTGATATTGTTGAACTTGATCGTCTTGACGAGCTGGGGCAAGATGTAGAGTCTTTACGCTCTAGAAGAGCGTCCTGTCAAGTGATTTTTGCGGAGATAGCTGTTATAGAGGAGATTTCGTGGCGTCAGAAATCTCGGGCTCTATGGCTTAAGAAAGGTGACCGTAATACTAATTTCTTTCATAGACTTGCTAGCGTTTATAGAAGATGTAATCACATTGGGAATATCCATGTGAATAGTACAGAGTTGTGGAAAGAAGATGAGGTGCGTAGGGGAATTATTTCTTTTTATCAGTAGCTTTAAACTGAGTCCTTGGAATAGAGACCTAAACTTAATGGGTTGCATTTCAATTCTAATTCTACGCTGGATAGTGATGGGCTTGAGGTTCTTTTTACTGAAGAGAAAGTTCTTAAAGCATTATTTACTTGTAACGGGGATAAAGCTCCAGGGCCAAACGGTTTTACTATGCGATTTTTTAAGGAGAGCTAAGAGGTGGTGCACAGTGAGGTGAAGAACACCTTTCAGGATTTTCATTCTCCTGGTACTTTTGAGAAATCATTGAATGTTTCTTTTATTGCCCTCATTCCTAAGAAAGGCAATGTGATACCCCTCGGATCCGAGACACGGGTTGATCAGGCCTAAGCCTAAACCCGAGGGATATCAGACAATTAATATGTTAACAAACACGGAATACAAAAGTGATTTAAGAAGTAAAAAAAATCCAAAGCTGAAAGAATACTAAATTAATTATCCTCAAATCATAATTATTTAAATCCGATAAATCCAAAACCTCTAATCCATACAACTCAGGAATCCATCTAGTGGACCCCTTATGAAAATCTCAAACTGAAACTGAAACAAGTCTAAAGCCAAACATAGAAAGTAATCCAACGTAATCGGAAGAATGAATGTCTGAATCTGCTCTGCATGTCCAAGCTCTAACCCTGGAACTGACGAATACCTAAAAAAATAAGAGAGTGGGTCAGGCCCACATGCAAGTCCTATCCTACTACGATCTAAACAGTAATCCAATACGCAGATACATCATAGATAGCTCAACAATAACTAGAGTAGTCCATATATGTATATATAGTACACACTATAGGACGCTCACTAGTCCAATAGGTCTGTCTTAGCCTGAATAGAAGTCAACATGCGAAAACGCACCCAAAGGTGGGCATGAGTACCTAGACCTACCAGAGAACAACACCTATGTCCAGTTATCCATCCTATGTGATATACGCGCCCTAACCATGATCCTGAGACTCAAGCTCATACCATGGCATCATATAATAAATATATAAAGTCCGTACTCCTAATACAAAATATCACCCATCTATATAGTGGTCTGATATATGTATAGCAAATCCATCCAGAAACCAAAGTAAGTCAGTCAATTATTTTATTGACATGACACAAATATGAGATGGACTTAACCTATATAGTTATTCCATAACTCAATCCATATTAGGTAGGACTTAGTGTTTGAACTAGTCCATACCTAGTATGCCACTGTCCCATACCGGTGTATACAATCCTCCAAATAGCATAGTTCATAAAACCACACTAAAAATTCAACAACCATCCTGCAAAATATGCATCAATAAAAATTCATACATATATATATCAATATTAGGCATTCATTATAGAGCCTAAAAATCCAATTTCAATAATGTAAACAGCTAAAACAAGTATAAGCATTCACATCATCCAAGTTGTCCACAAACTGATGCAGTTGAATAGCAAGGTGAATATTAATTCGATTCAACACAAGCATAATTAAATTTAAGTAATCCATGTTACTTATGATCCTATTTAAATATGAATAATCATAAATAAATCACATATAAACAATCCTTCAAGTTCCAAAGTATAAGTTGTTTAACCTTTAAAGTGCAACAAGTAGATTCTTTCTCTAACTATACACTGTCCATTCCTTAATTCATTTATGAGTTTATATTTCCCTCTTGTTTAACAGGTCTACAACAGTCATGTTCATCATTTAAACCAATTAAAACTGATTAAAAACACCCTGCGCAGTCCAAACAACGCACAACAACCAAACTGTACGCTTCCGGGTGAGAGCAGGCTCTCTCAAAATTGAAAGCCTACTCTTTTACAATAAGAGCTGGCTCCTAGACCTTCATGATCCGGCTCCTAGCAAGCAAACATACCTTTAGGAGCCGGCTCTAAGGGTTTGGGAGCTAGCTCCCTCCCTTTTCGGAGCCTGCTCTCACTCCCTTAGGTGCCGTCATCCGTTTCTGCTTCGTCTTCTTCAACTCCGGTGATTGACAGAGCCTCTGTAATGTTTTTAATTCTCATTCTAGGTTCAATCTTAGTCTTAGAATAATTTTAAATCACTGATATCCAATCATTACATACATTGAACACAAGTTTTGAAACAACGATTACAGAAACTCCGTTATCAATTTTAAACAATTCACAACAGATTAATTTAGTGAAAATTAAATACTGCTTTAAAAACTTGTTCTAGGGTTCAAACTTAGTCCCAGATTAGTTACAAGGCATCCAATCACATTACTAATCTCAATTAAACAAAGCTTAAACGTTAACAACGGGTGGAACAAATAACAGAACATCAAGGTTATGCAAGGCAATTAATTCAACGAGATTAAATAAAATTCATATATGCATAAAAGACTTGTTATAATGCTTGTTTAAATCCATTTTAGCCTTTATTTAATCCCTGGAGTCTAACTAGGCATGCACAGAACACAGATTAAAGGGAAAGAGAAGAACAGAGACTTGCCTTGAGTTTCAGTTCTTGAAACTCTAAACCACCGTCTCTGAGTTTCCCGTCAATGTCGTCAACTGCTGTTCTACACCTCCGGCGCTCTCGGTTCAACCTAGAAACACCCCGTCCAATTTATCCTTGAACCTCTCTGGTAACCTTCCTAGCTTTCACTCTCTATATCTCTCTGTCTCATGGTATAAGTGAATAGGGTTTTGTTTTGTAACCCTAAGGACGCGTATAATACAAATATATAGTCATCACTAAAATCCTAAGTCCAACTCTAAACCAACCCTAAGTCGGCTAAATCCCAGACACGATTTAATTAAAGGCAAAAAGAAACCCTAATGTAAACACACAACACGAAGCACAAATTAACTGTAACAAATTTAAATTAAATAAATGTCAGTTAATAAAATAAATAAAACACATAATTAATAAAACAAATAATACAAGCAATTAAACAATTAATTTATTAAAAATGCACATAAATATTAAATTAAATTTCAGGACCGTCCTTTTAAAATTAGGGGTACTACAGGCAACGCCTCTGATATTAAGGACTTTAAACCAATTAGTTTAGTGGGTTGCATGTACAAGCTTATTGCCAGAGTTCTCGTTCTTATAATGCGGAATGTATTGGACAGAATTATTTTAGAATCACAAAATGCTTTTGTTGGGGGATGCCAGATCATGGATTCTGTTCTTATTATAGGGGAATGTGTTAACTCTAGGTTGAAGAGTGGTGTTATTGGTATCTTATGCAAACTTGATATTGAGAAAGCCTACGATCACATGAATTGGAAGTTTCTTCTTTACTTACTTCAAAGGATGGGGTTCGGAGATAGGTGGATTAAATTGATAGAAACTTGTATCTCATCCGTTGTGTTCTC